AAATGGTAGAGATAATATTGACCATTTTTTTATAAAGAAACATTAGTTATTCAATGACCAAGCAGCCAGTTCTGTTCGAATTACACTTTTTTCTGTCCTTGGCCATCAGACTGCGATCAAAATGTAGAATTTGTTCTACTCATTCTCTAGTGATAATTGGAATATTAACAGTTTCCTCATAAGGAAACCCGTCCTGGGTATAACGATGAACTACACCCGCGTCCTGGGTAAGACGATAAACTACGTCCAGCAGCAAGGCCTCTGATCAGGAGGTTTTGGAATCTCCTCTTAATTGCTGGTGTTCCCAGGTCCACCCTGACTCGGGGTGGTAGCACCTGTTAGGGTCCCAGTTATGGACAAATAGTTAACCCCCAAACTGGGGTCAAAACACTATGAAAGTGTAAAAATAGGTTTTAATACCAGAAATACATTTTTGAAGAAAAAATTATAGCAATACATTTTTGAAGAAAAAATTATTACTGACAATACATTATTACCAGCAATACATTTTTGAAGAAAAAAAATATTACCAAAAATAGATTTTTGAAGGAAAAAATTATTACCAGCAACAAAAATTTTGTCGGCATTAAATAGCCCATTGAGGTTGATATGCCGTAAAACAAAACAAACCAAACCAAACTCATAAGGAAACATTCAGCATTCATTGACAAAGCAGCCAAAGCTAATCAAGTTACACTTTTCTTTATTCTCTGGCTATCAGGTTGAAATCAAAGTGTAGTATCTGTTCTCCTCCTCTCTAATGATAATGGTAAGCTTAGCTGTTTCTTTATAAGGAAACATTCAGCATCCATTGACAAAGCAGTCATTGCTGTTCAAGATACACTTTTCTTTATTCTCTGGCTATCAGGCTGAGATCAAAGGTAGTATCTGTTCTCCTCAAAAATGTAATATATTTGTTCTACTCATTCTCTTCAATGGAAAATTTCTGCTTGCATTAACCTTTTTCTGTCTCATAATCAGGCTGCGATCAAAATGTCTTATTTGTTCTACTCTTTAGTGCAATAATTGTTATTGCTCTTTCCATTTTTGTCGAGGGTTTCCTTTCTGACCTTTTGTGTGAAGTAGTGTGGAATGCGAACATCTTGGTTATGTCATTATTATCAGTTACATACGCAATCCAGCTTAGTTATTGCTGCTGTTCCACAAGATAATCTAACATGACTGAGATACGTCTTGCCATGAGGAATTTGAAACGGTCATGGCTCATTACATAGATAAACTAAAGCAAATGAAAGATCGGAACAGGACTTGCAACAAGGACTATCAATGACCGTTAAAAGCAGTTATCATTATCAACAAAGGAGAGTTTTTACAAAAAAAAAGAAAAGAAAAAAAAGCCAAGGTTTGGTTTGTTTTTTGGGTTTTTTTTTGTTTTTTTATTTGTTTTTTTTTTACGGCGTATCAACCTCAATGGGTTATTTAATGCTGACAAAATTTTTATTGCTGGTAATTTTTTTTTATTTTTAAATTTATTGTTTTTAATATTTTTTTCTCCAAAAATGTACTGCTAGTGATATTTTTTCTTCAAATACATTGCTGGTAATAATGTATTGCTGGTAATAATCTTTCTTCAAAAATTCATTGCTGGTAATAATTTTTGGCAAAAACGTATTGATGGTATTAAAATCCATTTTTACACTTTCATATTGTTGTGACCCCAGTTTGGGTGTTAACTATTTGCCCATAGCTGGGACCCTGACTGGTGCTACCACCTCGAGTCAGGATGGACCTGAGAACACCAGCAATTAAAAGGTGGTTCCAGGCTCCTCAAAAGCTCCTGAGCAAAGGCCTTGTTGTTGGATGTAGTTTCTCGCCTTACCCAGGACGCGAATGTAGTTTATCGTCTTACCGAAGACGAAAAAAAAAGCCAAGTACGACACAGAATATAGGATTCTGCGCAAAGTAATTTGGAACAAATGCACGCAGCCTGAAGAGATAAATAAAGCAGCTATGTATAAAAGAAAATAAGAAAACTAAAAGAACAAAATACATACTCATCAACATAAGGCATAAGAACCAAGAAGAGGACAGCGATATTAGAAAAAGAAAAAATACTTCGGAAACGGAACGAATACATCGGAGAACTCTTCCACGACGAAAGAAAAAAAAATATCTGCCTGATTCTTTTCTTCTTTTTATGTGCCGTGTAGGACGTAGGCGATCATGGCTCTCCACTTCCCCCTATACCTTGTGGCTCTCAATAAGTTTCCTTCCTCTGCCAACTCCCCAGACCACGTTCTGCCATCCACTTGCTTAAGCCGGCCAGGTATGTCATGCGTTGCTTTCCCTTGTCTCTTTTCCCCTCTATTCGACCTGTGAGTATCAGATTCTCCAGGCCCTCCTTTCTCATTACGTTCCCCAGAAATTTTATCTGCCTCTTCCATATGTTCAGTATAAGCTTCCTCCTTGTTTGCATCCTCTCCATGACCTCATCGTTGCTCACTCGTTCCATGATATCCTCAGCATCCTTCTGTAGAACCACATCTCCGCTGCCTCGAGTCTCTTCTTCATCTTTGAGGAGAACGCCCAACATTCGTTGCCGTGTAGGAGCTCAGTAATCTTCTTTTTTTTTTTTGGTTACCAAAGAAATCCTTCTGTCTCGCAGCACTCTGCCCAACTTTTGGAATGAATCCTTGGTCATATCAATCCATCTTCGGTTCTCAGCGTCGCACCTACCGTCCTCCATCAAAAGACTTCGCAGATAATTAAACTTCCGCACATGCTTAATTTTAGTTTCCTCGACCTGCAATTCGCATTTCGGGCTCATCCTTTTACTGATGACCATGCATTCTGTCTTCTTGTAGATTATCGTTAGTTCATTCTTCTTGGTCTCCTTCGCTACTTTCTGTAGGAGTTTTTGTAGTTTCTTTTCCGTGTCTGCTAGCAGTACTGTGTCGTCTGCGTATCTTATGTTGGTAAGATTGTGGCCGCCAATTCTAAATCCCAATAGAATCTCCAATTCTCTCAGAATTGTCTCGCTGTATAGGTTGAATAAGTCCGGTGAGAAGACACATCCTTGCCTTTCGCCTCTTTCTATTTTTGTCTGCCTGGCTAGACTTTGTAAATTCTTTTAAATTTTTTTATCTGCCTGAATATACTTTGTAAATTCATAAAGTTTTGTCGAAATGGTATTAAAGTGTCGTCCATTAATGAGGCAGACTGTAAAGTTCATAAAAGTGAAAAGAAAAATAAGAGAGACGAGAAGCGGTATGGAAAATAAAGATTTGAGAAATATCACGCCATTAAGTGACTTTAAATTGGCCCCATTTGAAAGGCAAATACGAGTGTCATCAAAGCAATTTAACATCTTTCGCCTTTTGTTTTGAGCTTGTTATAGCATTTTTTTTCCGGGGAAGTAAGTGCTTTAACTGGAAGAAATACGAATCCTTATTACAAGCGTACTTCATCCAGACAATACGATCAGGTAGGGGGGGGGGTAGGTAACGTTTAAATAAACCAAGTAGAAAGAGGAAGAGAATAACGTTGGACATATCTAATATCGGCGCCAGTTTGCCTGCCTGGTGGGTGAGGTAGCTGATTGCAATAGGCGTTGACTCAAGAACGAGCCCAGATGAAAACTAGGATTTCGAATGCTGATTTTCAAGGAAGATAAGCTTCTACATCTGTTTGGATTAGCATTCATTTATTTGTTCATCTGTCGATCCGACAAGGACCATCGAGTCATTCTGAGAAGTGGTCAGATTTTGTAAGTATGCAAGTGGTGATTTTTCATAATTTCATCCCAGACAAGGCAATAAAGCAGTTGAAATTTCTTGGGCACATAATAAGGAAAGAGGGCTTGGAAAATCTGATACTCACAGGATTGATTGAAGGCAAGCGGAAAACAACACATAACCTAACTAGAGATCTTGAGGAAATAGATGACGGAACAAGGCCAACGAGAGATAACAAAAAAAGAAAATTTATTAAAAGCTACGAAGGACGGGAAATTGTAGAGGGCCATGATCGCTTTCGTCATAAAAGGACAAGGCAAAGAAGACGGGGGGTTATCAGCACACTGTGAAGTATGGACCGTATATCAATGGTACAGAAAGAAACAGAGCAATTTTCATATCACCAGCTTCAGAGAAATAAAGGTACTCTCTCGTCATGAATTACTCAGCATTCGCACGGACCTGATGTATTCACCGGGGCAGCGGGCTGGTTACATTGTTCGCATGCCAGACTCCAACTGTTGTACTGCGAACTTGAACAAAGTAATCGATCCTGAGGAAGCCAGGAAAAACGCTACTAAGATACAATGACGTAATTCTCTTCATATTCATCTGGTAAGAAGCAAATTCTTCTCAGATGATTAAATGGTTACATTCTGGAGTAGATTACCAAGAGGATGCTTTCCCGACCATTACAATCTTAAACTATTCAAGTCTAGGCTCAACCGCTATCTATCCTAAGTATCCTCACAATATGCATTTCTTACATCCCACTCCCTTACACCCTTAGATCTCTAGCTACGGAAAAAGACGGAGTTTTTACCAAAAACAGGAGGAGACAAACCAAATATATTAACTCCAAAATATCAGCCTTCGAATTCACAGCAGTTTAATAAGAACGGAGACGTAATTACAGCACAGCATTAACCCATTTCTGTCCACTGTTTTCGCAAACCCTGATTCCATAAATCTGTTATGGAAAAATGTTATCTCAGCAGAAATTTAACCGAATCAGGCCCCGAAACGCTTTCCAAGACACATGCCGACTGAATACGATGTATTTTCACTCGGAAAATCTTTTATTGGGGGAAACTCAATAATTTATTTACAAGGAGAATCTTTTAAAACCTAGGAAACACGATGGGGGCCGAGCGCATATCAGTTAACCAGGAGAGAAGATTAATTACGAACGGGGAGACAGGAATAGAGAGAATTCAAAACCGGTGTCACCGGTGTAGCCATAGAGTTGACAGGTCTGCAAAACGGCAATGGAATCTTTACTTTATTCCTTTTGAACTCTCAGGCATGTCATATCACTTTATTTATTCACCTATCTATCATATCACTCCATTCCGTTCATTTCAAGCTGGTCTTAACGATCTTATGCTGCAAATCAATTCACCGAGTGTCACAAAGTAAAGATATTTATGTATTTACACATTTTTTTATAATCACGCCCTATATCTATCTAGGGTCATTAACATTATCTATCTATCTTATACTGTTTATATCTATCTTATACTGTTTCTTTGTTTCTGAGTATGTCCATAGCTATCTATCTTTCTATCTATATCTGTTCATATTTATCTTATTCTCTTTTTTCTTTCTTTCTTTCTTTCTTTCTTTCTTTCTTTCTGTCTAATTATCTGTCTATCTTATACTCTTTCTTGGTATCTCTTTTATAAAGCTTCTTTCTTTCTCAGTGTATCCATATCTATCTATCTATCTATCTATCTATCTATCTATCTATCTATCTATCTATCTCAACCTGTTCTATTTATCATGATTTGTGAACTATCTATCTATCTATCTATCTATCTATCTATCTATCTATCTAATTCTATTTCTCTCTATATACCTATCTATCTATTTATCAATCTTATTATCTATCTTTTTCTGATTATAGCTATCTATCTGTCTGACTGACTGACTGCCTGTCTTTCAGTCTATTTAGATATAACATTCAACCTAAGAAAAGGTAGATATCAACCACATAGTAAATCCAACGACAAACCACTTTATATACCCATGTTCTAGCCACCGTCTAACCAAGCAGATCTCCCAATCAATTTACTTTCATGATAACTGTTCTGCTAATCTCTTCGTTATGACACCAAGACATTTTAAAAATTAAGTGCAATACGAGATCTCATCAATTTGCAGTTGAGTTTGTTAGATGTAGCCGTAAGTTCTATGCTAACAGTTTCTTTTGTTGCACTTCCCGCATGTGGAATTCCCTTCCGACTCCATGTTTTCCAGCCAACTTTAATCTTCAAACATTTAAATGCAATGTCAATGTCTACTGTCCTACGTTTAAACATCTGCTGATTTCCCATTTGTAAAATGTTAAACAAACTTGAATTAATCGATTTTAATTTATTTATTTTTTAAATCACAATTTGGTATGGATTTTTCAATAATTGTTTTATTGAAAATCCGGCCTCTTTGTTTTTTTGCTGAACTCTCCAGTATTTTTTGCTCACAATGAAAATGAATGTCAAAAAAACGACTCAGAAGCCCGGACACATTTGTTTTAATGATGCCATTACTGAGACTTAAGTGAAAAACATTTCTTTCGTCTATTATTACTACACCCAATAATTTCAGTGTCATATTTTTGATGACTCTCAAAGATATTAAAATCCGAAAGTCACCTGTTTCCGGTTCTCCGCAATACATTGTCCTTTTCAAAGTAGCCTTCAAGTTTTTCTCTTTTAAGAATTAGATATGTCCCTAAAAACACTTCCGTCATTTTATTATGATTCTGTTTTGTATAGTTTTAATCGTTACTTGTTCAAGTGTCTGACGAGTATAGGCTGTAGAGTACAGTTGAACATACCGATCTGGCAAGCCATGACAGTATGCCCGTCTCACATTGGCGTTCTGGGAATATTATCGTATGATAAATTTCCTCTTCTTTTATGTGTCGTGCCCCTTCAGGACGTAGACGATCATGGCCCTCCAAATCTACTTATGCGTTGTAGCTCTTAATAAGTTATTTCTCTCAAATCTTGTCCTACCATCCATTTACTTAAGCCCATGTTACGAGCAGCTTTCTTCTGTCCCTTTTTCCCTCATTCTGTCTTGTGTGTATTAAAATTTCTAAGCCATCTTTCCTCATTATATGCCCTGTAAATTTCAACTGCCTCTTCTTGATGTTAAGTATAAGTTTCCTTTTTTGTTTCCATTTTCTCTAAAACCTCGTCGTTGCTCACACGATTGACCCGTGGTATGCTCGGCATCTTTCTGTTGAACCATATTTTTGTTGCTTCAAGTCACTTCTTCGTCTCTAAGGAGGTTGTTTAGCTAAATAAATGCAATATTTGACTGTCCAACAAGCACAATGAAAGGAAGTACTCTCTTTGGCGAGATAAAATGACAATTAGTGTACACGTGTTTGAGCAGATATAACACACACATACACACACACACACACACACACACACACTAATCTAAAACCACAGGGCAAAATACAGTTTAAAAGAGCAAAATATAAACAAGCCAAAACGATAGATGTAATAATATAACGACAGCAATGATAATGACATGTGTACACGTATATAACGAAAGTAAGTTTATGAGCATATATGAGCGTATGCGTTAGTATAAAAAGAGAGCAACATTGTGTGCGTTTAAAATATACAAAGGAAATATATGTCCATCAATACACCTAAATAGTTTATATTTATGGTTATATGTATCCAATATATAGGAGGCACGGTGAAGCAGTGGTTAGCGTCTTGGATTGAGGATCGAGTCGAATCCATTACATTCACTTACCCTTGGGGAAGGTATTAATCCTCTTCTCCCTCTATGGGTAAATAGCAGGGCAGACTGGGTTTTATAGCCTTCGATGGCAACTGGTCTAGAAGAAGGACAACTCTGAACTCAAAACCAGCGGAGGGTCGTTTGAGGTCCTTGTGGTACGTAGTGTACCAGGTCTCTGTATTTGGCCCTTCAAAAAGTGTGGTTGGTTCTGCACAAAGCCTTCACCACTAGAATCAAATCATATATGCTTGTCTCTGACTGTCGGTTCCTAGGAACTGAGCTACCTGACCCCCATACGTCGAATACGACAGGAGAGGCCACTATATCCAATATACAACGGGTATCAAAAATACTTTTTCAACCATTTTTTCAACCTTTGGGAAGTTCCTCACACTAAAAACAAGAACAAAAGTTCATATAAAAATATATCTACAAATCCTACGTTTTTGAATTGTTAAGTTTAAAGTTTACGGTAGACGCTGTTAAATGTACTATCCAAGATAAAATGTCCAAATAATTATTACCATAGTTTGTGCTGCCACGTATCCTGTATCAAAAACGTGATGATAAAGGTTGGATGACTCGTCAGCCTTCGGTCTGGAAACGTAATCTCGTCTCTATTACTTTTCTCGTGGCGGTATATAAAATCATATCTACTTGCTTACGATATGAATATCCTGCCATTGTTAAACGGAACACCTCTCATCTCACTACTACACGCGTTAAACGTTGAAAGTCTAATCACAAATGTACACGAATAACAAATGTAACCTAGTCTGTTTGGAAACACAGCGCCATCAACCGTAAATTTTCTTTAAACTTAATAACACCAAAACGAAGGATTTGCGGACATATGTTTATATAGACTTTTGTCCTTGAGAAACCCACACTCAAATTTTGTAAAAGTAATTTGATACACCCTGTATATATGAGTTATTTTTCTCATTTTCTTTATATATATATATATATATATATATATATATATATATATATATATATATATATATATATATATACGTAAAGAGCTAGAACCTATCTAAACTAAGTAGATAGGTTCTGGCTCTTTTTAACATTTTAATTTTGCCCTACATAGTGTATTGAGCACTTTTATATCCAACTAAGTTACTCTATTCAGTATTTTTTTTCTTTTTGCGATGCTGGTTGATTTTTTTTCAAACAGTATGGATGATTTTAGTCTTTTCTTTCTTTTATTGAATTTTTTTCCCAAATATCAATTTAATATTTTTTTTTTATTTACAAATTTTATTATCTGTTTTTTTTTTTTCACACCGCCATATTTATAGTTTAAAATAAAGTAACACACACACTCACACACACACACATGTATATACCGCAGAATATTTGTACATTGACCACCCCACCACCATTGTTTAATGGCTAACAGAAAAGACTACTATCTTTCATTAAAAACAGACAAACTTAAGGGTTCATTGGTCTGTTATATATATATATATATATATATATATATATATATATATATATATATATATATATATATATATATATCCTAAGTTTGTCTATTTTCTATTTAAATTGAATTAATAATTGGTCTGATTTGACATTGAGCTCAGCTCTCTGGATTACATCCTCCTTAGGATTATCCATACGGATTACCAAACTTTTTAATTACTTTATATATATATATATATATATATATATATATATATATATATATATATATATATATATCTGTTTAGGACTGGGTTTTTGGTTCTTTCTTACGTTTTCATTATGTTTTCTGTTTGTCTGGCTAGCTTGAGTAAATAAATGGCGGAGTGAGGCTTGGAAGAGATGGTGAAAAGACAATGTTTATTGAGAGCTAAAAAGAACAGGTAGTTTTTGATCGCCAATGTGCTGAAGGGACACAGCACATAGAAGAAGAAGAAGAAGAAGAAGAAGAAGAAGAAGAAGAAGAAGAAAGTAAAAGTAGAAGAAAAAGAAAGAGAGCAAAAAGAAGAAGTAAAAGAAAAAGAAGAAAATGAAAAGAAGATAAAGAAGAAAAAGAAAAGAAGAAAAAAGAAGAAAAAAGTAAAAGTAGAAGAAAAAGAAAGAGAGCAAAAAGAAGAAGAAGAAGAAGAAGAAGAAGAAGAAGAAGAAGAAGAAGAAGAAGAAGAAGAAGAAACTACCAAAGTTCACTGGAGATCAAGAAATAGCATGACTCTGGTACAGTCCTCAGTATTTTTACTGAACTTATTAATGCACTTATAGGAATTGTTTCACATGTTCCTCAAATTTCGAATTTTTTAAACCTTTTTTTTTGCAAGTCGCTTTCGCATTGTTCAAAGTTCTCCAATAATAATATTTAATATAATTTCATATCGCACATTTTTCCCAGATATTTTATTCCAAGACATTTGTGTTTTTGCTACCCCGTGTACGTCTGTGTTCAGGTATTCATGTAAAAAGCGAGGATTTAAAAGCAGATAAACGAATAAGTACGAAAATCAATGCGTAGGCGCCCAGGAATCAACTCTTCCGCCATGTTGATCGACGTGTTCTTGTAAAGATATGCAGCCAACTGGAAATATCGTTTCGAGACGGCGTGAGAAACAAATGAATGTATAGAGAGTATGCAATGTAAATACAAATTTGGCAAAAGGGTGCATATGAATTGTATAAATAATTCGCTGAGCGCCAACATCTCAACAAAAGTGAAGGCGCCATATTTTCATTGTCTTGTCATGGCGGCTAGCCGCCAAGACATTGAACTAAAAATGAAATAATTCAAATCTAAGTAAAAAAAAAAAAGTTTGACTAAACTTTAGGGTCATCAAGTACATATTGTCAAGTTTATATGGAGATTTCATGGTTCAACTTAACAATGTTAGAATAAAACACGAAATAATATTAAATACAGGATTTCCAAAAAAAATTGCCATCATTTCGCAGCCCAATAATGACAGTTTCCTGATGAAATGGCAGCCGCGGTCACCGGACCTGTCCCTGTGAGATTTCTTTTTATGGGGATATGTGACGGGACTGGTCTATGTTCCCCCTCTTCCTGCATGACTTTAGTATCCCCGACTTGTAATTTGCATTTTGGGCTCACCCTTTCGCTGATAATCATGAATTCTGTCTTCCTGTAGTTTATGCTTCCACCTTTCTTCTCGCTTTCTTTCGCTACCTTCTGTAGGAGGTTTTGTAGTTTCCTTTCCGTGTCTGCTATCAACAATGTCATCTGCATATCTTGTATTGTTAAGATTGTGGCTACCAATAATGAATATTGGTAGGACTTCTAATTCTCTCAGAATTGCCTCGCTGTATAAGTTGAATATATCCGGTGAGAAGACACATCCCTGTCTGTCAATTTTTCTATTTTCGGATATTGCTGAATTCATTTTCTGTCCGTATGCAGACAACTTACCGCTAGTATAGAGTCTTGATTATATTAACGTCTTCCCCGAATATGTCAAGATTACTGAGAAGCTCTGACAGATCTTTGTGGCGTACTTTGTCGAATGTCTTTGCGTAGTCTATAAAACACAGGTACATGTCCTACTGCATTTGTATTGATGTTTCTGATAAATATCGCGTTCCTTGTTCCGATGTCTTTGACGAACCCACGCTGTTTTGTCCTATCTCTGGCCTGATTCTGCTGCGCGCTCTATTCATAAGAATTCGAATGATGAGTTTTGTTATGAGGCTCATTAGGCTGATTGTCCAGTGGAGTTCACATTAGTTGGCGCCAGGTTTCTTAGGCAGTGCTATGTAAATAGATCTGCTTAGGCTTTCCGGTATATCCCCACTGTTGTAGATTTCATTTATTATTTCTGTCATCTTATCTATGCCAAAGTCGTCTAAGGCTGCCAGCATCTCTATTACAATTCCGTCTAGCCCTGCCGCTCTGTTTCTGTTCAGTTTGGTCAGTGAAGTTTCCATTTCAGTTTTTTTATATTTCTGGTCCGTCAGTATTTCTGTGTATTGCCAGTTGTTCTCTTTCGTGGTGGAAGAGTTCTATATGTTCGTTCTAGCTCTGAAATATATTCTCTTTCTGTAATATCAGAATTCTGTCCTTGGATTTTATGCAGCCTGTTGATGAGCATGTCTTGTGTTCTGTTAGTTCTCTTACTTTTTATGCACGTTTGCTTTATTTGTGATACTCATTCTATTTCTGCACATTTTTAGTTAAGCCGTTCTTCTTTAGCCTGTGTGCATTTGTTTCTTATTTCTTATTTGTAGTTTTTGCATTCCGTTCCGTGACTTGGCATTGTTTACTATTTCCTTTGCATCATGTCGAGAAACTCATTTGTCATTCACTGTTTTTTTCTTCTTCTTCTTTCTCCATTTTCCTTCGAGACGATCTCGTTTGCTGATGTCACTAGAGCTTCTCTTAGTGTGTCCCAATTCGAGTTTCCATTTCCATTTTGATCCTTGTATCTTCTTTTCACAGTGTCCATGTATTTTTCTTTCAAGTCCTGGTTGTTCAGGAGTCTATCGTATTACAATTTGGGGGCTGCGTTAGGCTTCTACAGTTTTCGTAGTTTCATTCTTAGTTTACATATAACAGGGAGGTGACTGCTTACGTAGTCAGCACTTGGATAGGTTTTGAAGTGAACAACTGCATTCCTGAATCTGTTGTTGATAGCTATGTAGTCGATTTTGTTTTATGCGCATTGCTTAAATAGGATAAATGAATCTTGCTTTGTTGTGAAAGTTTTCTGTGACTGAGCGGTCTAAAGCACACTATGCCTGACAGTATTTTCTCTATAAAAGTGATGCAGGTCTAAACTCTGCATAAAGGCACGTTTTCTTTATTAAAACTCTTGAATGGACAAGATGGTAGACTAAAATTTACACTGTTTTTAAAAAGGAGGTGGTTCTACTCGAATGCACTAAATATAATATTTAAAGTACAGTGGAACCTCAATTTAACGGACTGATAGATGGCATTGTCCGTTAATTTGAAGCAATATTTTCGTGGCCTAAAAGAAAAACAATGCAGTACAACATTATTGTAAATAAAAATTAAATACAGTATATATGTATTTGTATTTTATTCTTAAATTAATATATATCTTTAAATAAAGTTTTTAAAAAGTTTTAAATTTAAATCCGGAGTTTGTTGGTTCCGTTGCTTTCGAGTCTTTACTGTAATAATTTATATATGTTAAATCCGATATTTCTTATTACTTATTACGAGGCGTCAACTCAAATATGTGTACCCACTTAGAATAGCATTTAAAGTAATAAATACATAGAGAGTGTGACATAGATACATGTACAAGTAATGTCTATAATCTGCTGATTAAAATGTCTCGTCTCGACTAAGTAGGCAATCCCATAGAAACTCCAATGTTCATTCATGTGATCACACTTTAGGAAGTTAGTTTCGCCGAAAAAATTTCGGCATCCTCTTATAAATATCGCCCTGTTCATACTCCTCCTCTGGGTAGACGTTTATCATTTGTTTCCTGTTTAGGATTCGGTTTCCGGTTCCTTCTAAAGCCCTTTCTGATTTGATGTCATTATCGCCCTGCTTGGGGTGGAATGATTAATTAATATATATATATATATATATATATATATATATATATATATATATATATATATATATACCGTGTTTAACAGAAAATGTATAATTAATCTCCAAGCTTAAGAGAAGAACTTTGATGAAATCGATCATGAGCAAAAAATCACATGTTCATCATTAATTATAATTAGCTAAGGATCGGAAACTCATGAAGGATTGTAATAAAGTTCATTATATATATATATATATATATATATATATATATATATATATATTATTATTATAAAACGCAGATTGTGTGTGTGTGTATGTGTCTGTAACGTTTATATATTGGATCGGATTTCTTACATTTTTCAACCGATTTCAACAAAACTTCACAGGACTACATAAAATTACCTTGTGGTGGTTCTAACAGCGCCAAAAATGGGAAAAATATAATTGTTTTTGCACAAAATCAATTTGAAAACACGATTAAGAGACATCGTGAAAATGGAAGGGGGGGGCAACTCACATCGGGTTGTTTGTGTGTGTGGGTTACTTTAAATATGAGAGCGGATTTCCTATATTTTTCAGACGATAAAACAAAACTTCACTATTTTTTTTTTTTTGGCAGGTAGTGTTTCTTATTGTCTTGCACACTTTTTTCTTTATTTTTACATTCAGAATGCTTTAAAAATTCCATTTACAAGACAATTGTTTATAATAAAATTCTATTCAATCAGTAGACTCATAACGATTGAAAACAATGTTTTTGTTTGAGTTTGGGTTTGACCAATTCGTAAAAAAAAAAAAAAAAAAAAAAAACTAATTAAGACATGCGTGTCCGTCAACCTTAAACAATAATCTTTGTCAATTTTATTTTTTAGTCTTTATGATGGTGGATACTTGATCTATCTCTTACTGTTATATCCCCGGGCAACGCCGGGCTCTACTGCTAGTATATATATATATATATATATATTAACTTTATTCCAATCCTTCATGTGTTTCTGATCCTTAGCAAAGTTCATATATATATATATATATATATTTGTGTGTGTGTGTGTGTGTGTGTGTGTGTGTGTGTGTGTGTGTGTGTTATTTCTGGATCATTTTCCAACTTATTCAAGATTATCCTCGCCCTCTCTAACCTTCTAATTTTCTGTCCTAGAATAAGACGGTGCCTCAAAGTTTTCACGTATGATTTCAAGGTGTTTTTTTTCTCACTTTGGCTTGTCATAGCTGAAACTCCTCTCTCATGTGTCAAAAGTTTATGGACTGAGTTGGATCTTTTCTTTTTGATCGCTTTAGCTCTAAGTTGAAATGATGATCCCTCTTGCTGTTGTCTGATCCAGTTTTCCTCTATACTGTTCCCTCTTTTTTAAACTCATTCACCATTCTGTTGATGATTCTTGAATGGACTTTGAAGATGGAAGCCAGAGTATGAATGTTGGTACCATTACTAAAGACCTGAATGATCTTTTCCCCCTCACCATTGCTTAGTTGAGAAGACAGTGGAACTGACACAAAACGATTTTAATCTGATCTCTTTCTAGCTGAATGACTCAAAGGATTTTTCCTTGATTCTTACGGTATATAGTGGCTAAACGTTTTATCTAAAAACCTGGAGGAAAGTAATTCAATTACTTTAGTGTTTTTTAGATATTAAACATTGTGTGTGATGGACAATTATGCTGTTACACGATTTTGACAATATTGCTGTTAAACCCGGTATATATATTTGGGAATGGATTTTTCATTTATTAATCCGACATATTTTCAATCCTCACAGCCACGAAGAAACTTCTGATCAAAGCCCGATATATTATTTTTATATATTTTTCGTATGGAGGGAAAGCTTTTACATCTGTCTATCGATCTATCTTAGTCTTTTCCTTCCTTCATTCCTTCCTTCCTTCCTTCCTTCCTTCCTTCCTATCTATCTATCTATCTATCTGTCTATCTATCTATCTATCTATCTAACTTGTGCCCACGTGAATCAGTGCAGGTGTTCGAAAGCAAATTAGGACCAGTTAACACGCTGGGCACTTGATACGCTGAGCACCGGTCGGAGTTTATTTTGAAAAAAGATTTGAGTCTATTTTAATGTTCTTTCAATCTTGTTGGATAACCCGTACGTTCAACAAAGCGCGGTCGGGCTGATGTCTTTTCGGGTCGAAGTCATGTTTAACAAAAGCCTTACGCCATAACCAACTAGGTTACGCCTATCACAGTATGTAAGATAAGTATTTTTCTTTCTCTTCTTTATCTTTTTTTTTTCTTCCTTCTACTTCTCTAAAGAAGTGTTCTCGAGAATACGTTGTCCGGAAGTGCGTCAAGTGCCCGAGGTCAACAGGGGACACTGTCAGCACTTTTAGGGTTTCAACTTATGCTGTAGTGGTCGTTCTGTGGCTACAGGTGTACTTAGAGCAGAAGTTGTAATAATAGTGATGTTCATCGTAGAATAATAACAGTGAGAAAGGCAATGTATGTATATTTCGACATCTCTGTTGCAATAGAAATACAGAAAAATACGATAATAATAAACAGGATGATGATGATGACGTGACTGACGTGTGACTAATTTAGTTGCATGTAACAGTGAGGCGATTCTGAAAGAATTAAAAGTTCTACTTGGATTCATCATTGGCTGTGACAATCTTAGCAGTATAAGATATGTAGATGACATAGTGTTGATAGTAGACACAAGAAAGGAAACTGCAAGAACTTAAATAGAAAAGTAGTGAAAAGTAAGCGAAAAGAAAATACAAGACATCAATGGCAAGAAGATGGAATGCATGGTCGTGAGCAAAAGCGACAGCCGAACATGCAAATTAAAAATTGGGGATGCCAAAATCAAACAATACAACAATTTAAATATCTGGGGCGTGTTTTAACTGAAATCCAGTGGCGCATTGGCATAGCGAAAGATGTCTTCCAAAAGTTAAGCAAAGTATTAAGAAACACAAAAATATTCGAAACAAACAAAAAAATACTGAACTGCTATGTAACATCAGTCCTCCTATATGGTAATGAAGGATGGACAATCTCCTCGCAAATAAAGAAGACACTTTAAGCGACATAAATTTGCTTCTACAGAAAGATGCTTAGAATATCATAGACCGAATATGTGAGAAACAAGATTTATCGGGAACGATGAAGTTTTAGAGAAAATGGAAACAAAAAGGATATCAAGTAGAAACAAGCGAAATTTCTAGGGCACATAATGAAGAAAGAAGGCTTGGAGAATGTGTTACTCACCAGGCGTGTCGAAGGCAAGAGGGAGAGAGGAAAACAATACATAACCTACTTGGATGGCAGTAAAAGGTTTAAGAGAAATAACAAAATAACAAAATTTACTAAGAGCTACATCGGACAATAAATTGTGGAGAGCCATGATAGACAATGCCTGAAAGGGACACTGCACATAAAAAGTACAATGACCTTTTGGAAATGGATGGTAGTACAGGGTTTAGTAGTAATAACAAAAATTATTAAGGGCTACAAAAGATAGAAAATTGTGGATGATTGCCAATATCCTGAAGGGATACGTCACACAGAAGGAGAAGAATGAACTTGTGTCAATGGATATCAGTACAGAGTTTATTAGGGATAACAAAAAGACAAAAATTGCTAAGCGCTACAAAGGTTAGGTTTGGGACAGTCATGATCATGAAGAAGAAGAAGAAGAAGAAGAAGAAGAAGAAGAAGAAGAAAAAGAAGAAGAAAATCGCATTCACTTTCTGATTATAATTAACTAACACGAAATACTTCAGCTAGAGCCGTACGTTGTCCTGGGTATGACGATAAACTACATCCGGCAGAAAGGCTTCTGATTGGGAGATTGGAGGATTTGTGGGGCGCTGAACCGCTTAATAGTTGTTGTTGTTTACAGGTCCACCCAGACACGGGGTGGTAACACCCGTTAGGTCCCATCTATGGGCAACTAAAGAATCCCCAAGCAAAAAGAAAACATTATGAAAGTATAAAAAAATACATATTTATAATAAAAATTACTATCAATACATATTTATAGTAAAAATTACTAGTAATACATTTTATCTGTACTTGAAGGCATACAATTGCCTTCAAAATATTTAGATTTCGAAATAAAATAAGCCATCGAGGTTGATATACCGCTAAAGAAAATCAACCAAACAAACAACATGAAAGAACTCTTTTATGACATTAGTCAATATAATATCATACAATTTCTTAAGGAAATCAAACTGTTCCAGAATATAACTTCAACAAAGCTACAACGTAAAACGCATATAACCGCCTTTATTAATTATGTCCCTACAAACTTGTATATACATAAAAGCTGAGCATCATCTACCATGTATTCAATTGTGAAAGCAGAATAACATATATCATATTTTTATTCCTTCAAAGCTCCAAAGAAAATTAAATTTCGGTACTAAATGACCCATAAGGAGTTGGTATGCCGTTAAACAAACAAAAAAAAAATTAAACCATCCGTAGCGTAAGGTTCCTCTAAAGTTGTGGCAAGGTTTCAGATGAGCTGTCAATTTGGGGTCAGGAAAATGGTAACGTCGTCACATATCCTCAAAATGCAAATGCGACATATCTGCACCGTTGCAAGTTGGAAATTGCAGAGGTACATCCACGAAATCGCCAAAAAAAAAAAAAAGAGCATAGCATGATGAAAAAGACGCCAACCTTGCCGAAAACAAAATTTTATCGTCTAAATGCTTATGCTATTATTAAGAGTAAAGACCAAAGTTTATTTTAATTATTTTTAAAAATTTTTCCTTCTTTTTAGAACATTCTAAATTTTGATTAAAAAAAAAACTTGTTTCTCTTTGTATCACCGGAACTAGTAAAATAACATAGACAATTTTTAGCACGTTTTTTTTTTTCTTTGGTATGACACATATTAATTTGGAAAATCTTGCAAAAATAAAAATAATTGTCGGATGTTAATGAAACATTTCTCATGAAATATGAAATTTAATCTCACTCTTAACAGTCTTATTTTAATTTCTTTATAATATGTTTTCCATAAAACATCGTAAACGTAAAGGTGAAAGCTAAGCACACAAAAAAATTAGAGCGCTGAAAGTTTTCCTTAAAAATAACGAGGTAAATAATTTGTTCACTTAAATGTAAATTATTTCACTTTTCTCCTTCCGTAGAACAAATTATCCTCACGGAATCCGTCAATATGTCATTTATCACCTGTCAAGTGACGCGAAAAGTTTATGACCTGCTTTGTTTTATTTTCAAATTACATCCTTTCGGTGCAGAATCTCAGTTAAGCTTGGTTCAAAATATTTTAAATAAACATTATAATTTCTGATTTTCTTAAAAATAAGTTTTGAAAAAATGATAATTGATATTTAAAAGAATTTCAAAGTGAGATTTCCAGTTTTTTATAAAATGGAAAAAAAATTGTCAATTTTGCTGACTCTAAAAAAACAAGATTTTTAACGAAAATTTCGGACGTGCTAGAAACGATTAAAAAATGTTAAAAAATACCCCCAAAATACTTTGATCTTTCCTCTTAATAATAACATAAACATTTAGACGATAAAATTTTGTTTTCGTCAAGTTTGGCGTCTTTTTCATCATGCTATGCTCTTTTTTTTACCGATCTCGTGGAGGTACCTAGAAATTGCTTATGTGCACTAACCAATTTTCTGTCAGGTTACCCAGCGTTACCGTTGTCTCGCTGGAAAATTCTAGAAAGCACACAACCAAGAAATTACCTTACTTTTTATCTTTTTTTTTTTTTTGTGGAAAACATTTTGCGTTTCTAATTTCCAATCTTTTCGCTTGTATAGTTGTTAATATTCTTAAAAATACACCTTTAAGTGCCGAATCTAGGTGTGTCGTCAGTGTTGTTGCTCTCATGTTACTAGAAATTTTGGGTCTAAATAAACAACAGACTTCTTCGATGTCCGACCCGACCGAATATGATCAGTATTCGTCCCGCACCCAGAATAAAATTTGCTACTAACTTTAGGACGTGCTTTATATAAGTCCCCACCACCCAGAAAACGGCAACTAATCAAGACTTCAGTTGGGCTATTCGATGTTATAGATCGGGTATGCTTGGTTGTACTGATCTTCCTACATGCGGCCCAGACAGAGTGTTTTTTGAAAGAAGAGAAGAAAACAAACCAATAAATATATATATAATACATTAATAAAATAAAAACGATTTATTATATTGGCTCGTCTTACGATTTACTTTTCTTTCTCTTCCTCCCCTTTTAACTTCTTTATTATATCTTATTTGTTTGGTCTTTCTCTTTTTATAACTTTCCTTTTTTATTCTTATATATATATATATATATATATATATATATATATATATATATATATATATATATATATATATATATGTTTCTGTGGGATTTAGATTTTCATGTGTTTTGATTCTCATGTGTTTTTGGTTTTCTTGGTTTATTCTAATCTTACGTCATCTCTTAACTTCATTAAATACTTACCTGCCACCAGGGCAGGAATCCACGTGTTTTTGATTGAGATTTAATTTCTGTACAAAAAAAAAATGTTTACGTAGACATGCGCATGCTCAAAAGAAAGCGAATAAATTCGTTTCTTTCAAGAGAAACGACAGAAAGAAAGAATCGAAACTTGCAAAAATTACCTCACATTCCATAAACCCGAGACTGTTATCATTTACTTTTGAAAAGAGATAGTCCCTGAGCTGTATTCACACGTGTTTCTGGTTAATAAAAACGTATATTTAGGACTTAACCAGTGGCTGAAATAGTTGTTTATTTCTAACCGGCTACAAAGGTCGTTGTTTAAGGTCAAATAAAAGTATGGATTCCAATCCTAATTTCCAATGAGGGAAATATTTTTTTTCATGTGGCGCCTATAATTTTACTAACTCTATTTTTCTTAATTTAGTCTTATCCTGTATTAAACTAACTTTAGGAAACAAGCACTGAGTCTTATAAAAAAAGATGTATTTAATACTTACTTCGCTTCAATCGAACTAATTTCTCAGTACACTATATATTATATAATTTCG